CCTTACACACTCCACAGTACAGTACACTGTAAAGCGCTTTGAATGGAGTGTACAGAAAAGCGCTATATATAGTAAGTGCAAGCATTATTAAATTAAGTGAAATGTGTCTGTTGGATGGACAGAAGTAGGATAACAAGAAAGCTGAGTTTGATCAGTTTGATCAGTTATCAGTAGCTCTACTGTGGATTAAACACATTGGCAAGGGATATTTCTTCTCAGTACAGCATCACTGCTATTAAAACTGATTCTGCATGAAGGAAAACGTCCTTCCTCTTCTTTGCCTCGTCATTTATAATTATTGCCCTATGTTTCTGAAACAACATAAAATATTACAAAATTACATTTGTTTTGGAACAAAATGCTGTTAACACCTGAGGTCTAGAATCTAAATTATTTTTCATTCACTGGGAGGTTAGTCACTTTGTACAAGCTATCATTGTCAGTGTATTCCCCACAGAATACTCTAAAGGTTAAAATATAAAAAAGCAGGCAAAATTGTAAAAGTCATATTAACCTACTCTGACATTTAATTTTTCAGGTAGCCTCCAATATAAGGAATCGTACACTCATTTTACAATTCAAATACAATTTTATTTTTACTTAATCACATATACAGTGTTCCAATAAAGACTTCTTTTTTTACAAATGTAATTGCAACATACATTCAACCTATGCTATAGATTTTTCTTATTGGATAACTTTCAATAAAAGGTTACACAGTCAAAATTTAAATTTAGGCTTTTGCACAACCCAAGTATCTCTATGGCACAATGGGAATATAAAACTGTAATACATGAGAAGCATACAGATAAGGCAGATAAGAAGTGGTAGAATAGTTGATGGCATGCAATGACCTTTCTTAGAGGTTACTATTTTGATTTTAGTTATCCAGGATATTCTGTCTGAACAGAGCAAGTAAATGGACCAAAAATCATACTGAATCCTAGTAGCTGTATTGGAAATAAGCGCTTCAAATCTGCTTCAGAAGCTTCTTATGTTTTAAAGATTTGGTGTTCCATCATTTTTGTAGCTACTGTGTCTTACAATTCAAGATTAAATATTATTCAACAATGGTGCTGTCATGCAATCTTTTCAGGGTTTTAACACATATGTCTGTTTGTGTTTAAGATATATCTGACTCCAGTATCAGTTTATTTGTCTTGTGAAGTCTTTATATTTTCTAAAAGGTATGAAGCACAATAATTGAATGCATTTTTTTTATTTGAAGCCTAATTCAAAGTACCCTTACAGTTTTTGTTTTGACTAAATCATACATTTTATCTCATTTTGTATACTCCAGTGAAATCATGTAATCAAAATCACGTTCTGAAATCAACACACAGTATTATTGACAAGTTAAATTATTTGTTGGTTGCATACCAAAGTACCAAGCATTGGTAGTACTTACTTTCTCATAAAGCATAATACTACGCAGACCATTACAAACTGCTTACATGGTGTAATATACTGTTGATAATTTAAAGGCTATGTTTTCAATAGTGTTTGAATGTTTTGTTTTTTTTAATAATTTTGCTTCAAATGTGGAATATTCACAATCAAATCCTTTTTAAAGAGAAAAGAAAGATTAAAAGTTTTATTGGACCTCACCTCTTTCATCATTCCCACATTTGTAGAGATGTAGACAGTAATTTATGAGAGAAAGGATTGGTTTGGCACTTCAAAAAAACAGCAAAAAGCAGGATAATACTTAAAATATTTATGATTGTATGTGTCGGGGGAGATTACTTTTTTTCTTTCTTTGACAGAAGAGAAAGGGATTACAGCCAAATATAAGACTTGTGATAGAAAAGGGTAGGCATGTCCTTTGTACAGTAAGGCACCAGAGTTGTGCCTTCAGGAAGATCTTGTGAGTTGTGTACTAGTCCAGCAATTACTGACAGTTTCTGACTCTCTGACAGTTTATCATGAAAAGAGTCAGATAAATCTAGTTGGAACCATCTGAAAAACATTTGGGATGCTGTGGTTGTGCAATGGGAAAGCACGCATTAAAACAAATCCTTACTCACAAATTAGGTGGAAAAGGTGTTTGGTGGCCACTAATCCAATTTTGAACCCAATGGAAGAAAGGTGGTGAAACATTCAATATTACAATAATATATGCTGTATCATACTTATAAGAATCATTATGAGTGAACAACAAGTACATTCTGACAAAAGATAACGTTCTCCTTTTTAAATATCTATACACACTATAGAATGTAGATTCAATTATAAAGATTTCTGTAACATCTGGTGAGAGAAGTTATACTTTTAAAACTTCATTTACATATGCAGTGAAAATTTTAAATTGTAACTGGTCAAAGAATTACTGGAAACAAAATATTACCTATCATATTCCATTAATTAATTTGAATAGCACAGATTTTGTCTAACAAAAAATGTTCTGCGTTTTACCCCATTTTTGCTTCAGAATTATTTTCCAAGGCCACTTGAGCGCAAACTTTATACTGGAATTTCAAGGCATGAAAGTGAAACCTCAACACAAACTCACAAACCCAAGAAAACTATCTTTTTGAAACTTGTCTTGTTCTACATGCAACACCTCCAAATTCTGGAGCTCCTGGTGGTAAGAGTATAATCCATCTCAGAGTTTATCAGCTGTTGCTAGGAAAATGAAAAAATGAGTTATCGCTACACTCAGAACAATCTGAGATCTATCTATAGGTCTGGATTCCACAAAGCAGGACAATGATTATTCAATTACAACCTGACTTGTCAATACCAGGATACAGATCAGGGGTTCATAATACAGATCTGGGGTTTGACTCCAAACTCTAAAGAATCTGTGCAAAGAGCTGAGCAAAGGAAAGGGTAGGAGGGATTTTTTGTAAATTTGCCAGCTGAGACAGAAATACCCCTCTTAGAAAGCATCGCTAGGGAATGGAATCCAGTGTTTCAGTACCCTTTTCAAAGAAAGAAATGGCATTTTTAGCATTCATAAGTTTTGGTCTATACCCATGGAGCAGTGCGTTTCAAGGTAGTTCCAAACTGCTGTGATTTCACCACCTTCTTATGCCAGTCTGAAGAGGAAACATTCTGCTGTTCTGTGTCCCAGCTGCTGCCCTCTCGTCAACAGAGGACAGAAGTGCTACCGTATGATGTCCAAGTAGTGCAAATCCGCATAGAGAGCATTGACGAGGAGAGCGAGCAGACGATTCCCATCCAGCAGACAGTGGCCGGGGTATCTGATGAACTGACAGGCTTGACTGAGTGTTTCTTGGAACTCAGAGTACTGCTTCGTAGAAGGCATCAAGTCAAGGGTGTTAAGTGCCTAAGTCAAGATGTAAATTCGGTCATTAGCCCAATTACGTTTTTCTAAATTTATCTGTGAAGCCAAAGAATGTTTTATTTTCGTGGATTATGTAATTATCTTTACCTGAGCTGACATAAAATACGCGTATTAATCAATTTAAACAGCAAAAGGATCCAAAAAGTAGACAAACATTTTTACATGCTACTATCAGAGCTGACACCAGTTTTACGTTGGATTTTCATTACATACTTAGAGGACATCATCAACAGAAAAATGTATTTATGTATTTATTTAAATTATTCTGACTTGGGAAAGCATTCTAATAATACATTGGTTTGTTGTTTACAGAGCCTACAGTGTTGGTAACTGTGTCTCATATGTATGTGTAAGGACTGTGTTACTGTACATGCCGTAATAAGAAAAGTTTCTGAAGAGTGTGAAAGATATACACTACAAAATGAAAGATTATGATTTACAATCCCCCAAAATATTATTATGTAATAATATTTAAAATATATTTACTAATTAACTTAGTATGTTTTGAATTAAATCTCAAAGACATAGCAACTCAATCATATCTTGAAGGCTAAACAATTAAGGTGATAGTGTTGTATGCATAAATCTTTTTTAACACGCAAGAATAAATGACTAGGTCCTAATTAACAATAAGCAGCCGTACTTGCTGTGCTTTAGGGGAGATTTGCAGGTCTGATCCTGGCTGGAGTCGGAGCCGGTTCTCCGCAGGCACCTGGACTAACAGGAATGCTGACATACTGCGCACCACAACCCGGAACCTGAACAGAGCAACATCGAATCACATCTCTTGCAACACTGAACTGCATGGAAATACAATTGCATTTGATTCAGTGGGCACTGTTAAAACAGGCTTTAGAACATGTAAGGAATACCACAAAAATGCTTCTCTCTACATTTTGGAATTGCTAATTGCTTTCATATTCCACTTAATCTGGGGTCACCAGATGTACAGTAAATACACTTGACTCAAGACAAGCAGCAGTTCTGAGCGAACCCACATGTGAGGACTGCTGTACAAACTCATCCAATGGGCCTGCTGTCTTAGCTGCTCACTGTGTGAAAACCTGAAAGCTCCACTGTGCCTTATGGTTAGCTCTGACTGGGAGACCAGCAACTTTCTTGATGACATCACTACAGGTTCACGGTGTCTGGTTGCTCTTCCATTTCCGGCCAACGAAATGCTGGCTGACTGAAGTCCATCATGCTCCTCAGAGGCATGGCAAATTGTGCAACACCTCTTGGGCAATACCCGGCACAGCGAGCCAACAGTAAGGCCCAGACACAAGCTGGACATGTCTAGACAACAGGGCTCCAGTGTGCACCTCAAGCACTTATTTACAAGTGGAAACAACTGGAAAGCCTCAAAGTGTATACTGGTATACTGTAGGTTCATCTCTTATCAGAACTACTTATTATTCACTCAGAAAAATATCAGGTATTTTTCTATATATCTAAAAAGCATGTTTTTTTAAAGTTTTTTGATGTAATGAAGATTTGCTTTTCTTAAAACTCTCAATACATTAATATTTAACGTATTAAGCCAAATTAGTTTGTTTTAACTAACTTAACAATTGATGGGTTAAATGATCTACTTCGTATGTGTTTTAATATTCCTTTAAACATGCCACCCTGAAAGAACCCATTTCTGTGTATATAACTAAATGGTTTAGCTTTCTCTTAATTTGAGATTAATTTGTAATTACGACAATGATAAGAGTGGCCAGTAATTGCTCTGCTTGAAATGAAATGGCATGTCCCTATTTGAAATCTATGCATCATCAAAAAGCTCTTTTCTCATGTAACAGAACAACTGGTCCAAGCAATCAAAGAAGGTGCCAAGTCCTCTCCTCACCTGCTGGAAAGAGGTGACTTCTTGCCCAGACCTATAGCCCCCAGGATCCCGGAGGCCAGCCTCTCTTCCCCCAGCTGGGCAAGCCGAGCCTGCAAGCTGAGCAGGGTCTGGATGAGGGGCTCCAGGTCACAGACATCGCCCTGGTCCACCTGCACCTGTATCAGCTCCAGGCTCTTGTGCCACCACAGGAACAGCTTGCTCTCATCAGCTGGACTGCTGCTCAAGCCAGAGAGGAGAACTGTGGTCACTATTAAATAATCAGGGTGGGATAATTTACTTCTTCCAATGAGTAATCTTCATTTTACATACAGTTTAGAGTATTCTCTAACATTAGGGCTATTGTTACTGGTTGCTTTGTGATGACAGTATTGTATTTAAGAAACGCTAATCTACCATTTCATCAATCATAAAACACATCCACCAATTCACCAGTTACTGTATAGCAACATATGCTGTCTAGAAATTCACATACTGTCTCTCTGGACTTGTGTATAAACATCATATAACACACAGAACTCCGTTTTTAATATTTAAACATTCAGTGACTCACGGGCCATAGTTTGCATCTGTAATGACTAAACAAGGGGAACTGAAACCATTAGTTCAACTTTCTGGGCTGAAATAGTTATAACTTAGTCTGAAAAAGACTAAAATAATGGAGTGCAATCTCCAAAGAGAAATGATCAACATAATTCAGATTTTTTAAATCTGATCTATAAAACATGAAAGGTATTTTGAACAGTGTACTTTCACTCTTTGCATCTGTTTTTGGAAATTTCACCAATCAACTAAACCTATACAAAAAAATACCCCTCACATTTAAATAATGTTAATTTTAAAAATCCAGCTACAGTTTTAGGGCAACCTGTGCCTTTCAGCTGAGTTGTAGTCTTCTGTCCTGCCCTTGAACTGTCAACACACTTACTCAAGAGTGCACTTATGGTTCTCTGAGCATCGCACCTGGGGAAGACTTCGCTCATCCAAGTCTTGAGCAGCATCAGAGTCTTCTTCTCATTAACCAGAGTCTGCTCAAGGTTGAGCCTCTGGAGGATGTAGACGTACAGTGTAAGGAAGCTGCCCAACGCCAGACTCTCCTGGAGAAAGTCCTCGACTGTCAGCTCGGGCACCTGGAGAGACAACAGGATAGGGCCCCACCCAGAGTACTGATCCACACAGGCTCCTGGCAACAAGCACACACAAGAAGAAAGGGGCATACAGAGAAAAGAAGGAAATGTCATGATGAAATGGCAGAGCAATCTCTCTTCCTCCTCACCACGGATTTAAAAGTGGTTTTGGATTTTGGATTTTGAACATAGCACATCTAATAGAACAGTTCAGATGGCACCTGTGCATGAAAGTTATTGAAATCATAACTGTTTAAACATATTGCATCAGAAGAAATGCCCCAGTCCTGGTGTCCCTCTGAGCCCAGTTCCCCCCTTACCATCGGTGAAGTAGGCAAGGATGCAGGCCTCAGTGGTGCGAGCCATATGGCGGACAGAAGCTAGGCTGCAGCAAGCAGCGGTGAGAAGGGGCAGGACCAGGGGGGCCCAGGCCCTGCGCTCCACCCAGCTGTGCAGCATCCCTCCAAGGGCCTCAGCAGTGGACACACCTGCACTGTTCAGCACCTTCAGAACCTCTGCAAACAGGCTGCACGTAGCCATGTGTCGCTGGCGCAGGTCAGTCTCTGTGGGGCAGAGATCACTTCAGTCACTTCAGACTTGGAGCCCATCACTCTATAACCAGATTGCTTTGATCGTGCTTTTCTAACAATCAAATGAATGTAATAGCGACTGTATGTACCAAGGAGACATGTTTGAGAATATATATATATACAGGCAGACCTCAAACAAGAATCTGTAAAACAAAATAATGAGATACTTGTTAACTGCACTGTTACGGTTACTAGCTATGCAAAATATCAGTTGTTAGCAATATCTTATTTAAATTATAAAAGTTATACCTGGTGTTTGCTACACCAGATACTGTATGACTAGTTTTTTATGCCTTTTTTGGCACTTAGGAGACTACAGGAAAATAGAGAAATCTTCCTTTTGTAGAGACACTGGTCTGTAGACCCAGAATCCCACCTATAGCCTGCAATAAAACAACTGTATCATGCCAAATGCCTCAAGGATAATTTCCAAAACTTTTAAATCCATCAGAGAGCTGTTTTGCAGGAGACAAATAGTCATCTATGTTAACAAGTTATGTCTCATTTAGATATTAATGAGAACCAAAAGCATTTTCCTAGTAGGATTTGTCACCTGGAGGGTTGAAGACCACAATGTCCTCTAGCAAACTCTCCATCTCCCTTTTCAGTTCTGAGAGGCTGATGTTCCCATTCTGGTCCAAGGTAGTCAGGAACTGAACAACCATGTGGATGAAGGCCTGACACTTCAGCATCATGTCCTATCATGCAAGATAAATGCAACATAGGAAATAGTCTGAGTATAAGTTTTTCAAACTAGTGATGTGGTTACTCATGCGCTCACTAAGCTGGTACTCACACTGTGCAGTGTTCCTTCAAAGGTGGATTCAAAGCCAGCAGTCATCTTCAGAAGTTTGACCACAAGTTCTGAGGAGGTGTCCCTCTTCAGGATGAGAGCTGAGGGGTAATGGGTGTTCACATAGCCCATCACATTGCGATAGGAGGAAGAGTCCACAAGGTGCCAAGGGAGAGAACTGGACTGTCCAAGCAGACTCAGAAGTGGAGAGTCCTGTAGGGATAAAAAAAACAACGATGACATGAGAGGAATGTAAATCCAGACGAGAATTATATTAATACACAGCAATTCTACTGCACAAATGTTGACCTCAATGCTCTTGGTCAAGCATCAACCTTCTATGTGTGAAAACCAACATTTAATGCAGCATGAAACAAACTCCTTAACCACACTGTTGAAAATTTTGCTCAAATACTAAAAACAACAGCTTGGTAGGAGTCACGCATTATTAACCGACTAGCAATTAGATGAGCAAAATGGATAAATGGTTTGCATTAAGCTTGTAGGTAATAAACTATTTTATTAAAGTGCAATGGTAAAATTAGTTTCTGTTGTTATATCATTATCTTACTTGTCATCTACTTGCTTACTGATCAATCAAAAAGCACTGTACTCATGAGCATGGTATGATCTGGATACAAACCAGTTATACAAAAGCACACTCAAAAAGGTGAGCATTCAGTTGTTGAATGGAATTGAGATAAACAGATAAAGAAACAGCAGAGAACATAATATATACCCGTACAGAACACATAAATATCTGTAAGATTGAAGAACACTGACCAACAAATAATGCTTTCCCTAAGGGGATGATTTCACAACAGAGCTTCTGTAAAAAAAGCAAAAGGCAGGAATGGTTGTACTCACAGGCTTGCTGAGAAGTTGGTCCTCCTTGGCAAGGAAGATCATCGTGTAGAGCAGACAGACGACCATGATCTGGGTGTCTGGGTTGGGCTGGGAAGTCAAGGCACTGCTCAGGACACTCACCCAGTTCACCTCACACAGCACACCTCCCAGGAACAGGAAACAGCTCTTTGGACTCCCTCTCTCTACCTGCAAACAGATCATCCCAATGGGCTTTAACAAACATGAATGGCAATATTTACTTTGAAAACTAAAGATACGATCAGTTCATATGGATTCAACATCACACAAAATCTTATTTTTAGAGTTACACCTGTTCTGAATGTATAAAAACATGGTCAATAGAATGCATTTTTATATGCATTTATTGCTGAAATTCAAACCAATTCAAATATGAACCTTTGTAAATCTCTTGCCTCAATGTGTTTTCTCAAGGTTTGAAAAAAGCATGAAGCTTGAAACCTGCAACAAACAGCAATATGGTCACTTGAAAGTTAAGACCTGTGGATAATTACCACAATATATTTGACCTGACCTTCTAAAATCATACTTTATGAGAACAAATACTAATGGTGCTTATAGAAATGCTGTAAGAGAAAGTACTGAATGAGTCACAGCAAACATTTTTAGCATGAAGGTTTTAAGTTTTCACAAGAAGAAATTTGCCTGAACCACATACTTAATCTTGAGAATTAACCCTGATGAGCCTGGTATGGGACAGTGGGTCACAATTTTTAATTATAATATCATGCCAATATTTGATTGATTTATAAGCCTGGGCTGTAGTAGGAAGGAAATCAGCTTCAGTAAATGGGTGTCTTACATTAAAAAACTGGTTCATGAGAGTTTGGTCTGGGTGCAGGTCCTTCCAAGGCAACCGGCTATATTCTGTGTGGTATGTGTACAGGATGTACTCTGGCATTTTGGGAGCGGTGCATGTTTCACAGTAGTGCATCAGATGTATCCTGAGAGCATCTCTCTGGCCAGGCAGCAACATATCTGTGTGACAGTAGACACAATCAGACACTGATTCCCAGAGAGCGTATAATTTAAACATTGGTGCTAGAAAACAACAGAATAGCACAAATGTGTAGAAGTGTAGTAGTTCAAACAGGTAAATCAGCAGGTTAATTCACCAGGAACATTCTGTTTTGTGAAGATCTCTATTACTACTACTACACCCTATAGCCAATATAAGCTGGTGACTGAAGACAACGCAAGTCCCAGAAATACATTTACAGTCTTACTAAAATCTGATTACAAAACATTTGATTTTATTTTGTCTTTTACTCCTGGTAACTTGCATTTTCTTAGATGTACATGTTCAAATAATAATCACATAAAAACATCTTGGTCACAATGGGTAAGATAAACATTTGTAAGAAATTATCTATGTTAGCAGAAACCTAAATATTCCTGTAGACAGTTATGGTAAAAAAAAGGTGGCAATTATTTCTCGTCCACTGAAAATCAAAGAAACACTCTTCTGCAATCTGCTGCGGTCTGAGCAGGGCAGACGGCAGAACGCACGCATACCTTTGAACGTCTCATGCAGGCGTTCTGTGAAATGGGAATACATGGCCACCAGACTGGCAGCAGCAGGGGTGTCAGTTTCCAGCCACGGAAAGCAGCGAGGGTTACTGGGGCGGGAGAAAGATCAATGTGACAGCGAACAATCTGATACACAGGAAAAACAAACACTGCCTTGCCATCTGTAAATACCTCGGATCATCTGTATCCAGCACCAGGATCCATGGCTTGAAAAGGCCAATGATCTTTGAGTGCAAAGTCAGCAGGGCTAAAAAGGAGAAACCAAGCTCTGAATCAAGACAGAACACTGCTTTAAAAAAATGTTTAATTTTTAAGTGTTCCAATTAACAACTGTTCTATTTGGATGGAGTTACTGTGAAAAATACCACGTATCATTCCATTCTTTCCAATTTACTCTGAAGCATTTTAAAATGGAATTACACTGAAGTGGATTCAAAACAGAGCTGCCTCTTGCTTTTTTACACAAAGAAAGGTGGGAGTGCAGAACAAGCTATCCAGCTGACACCTTGGCTTCTTTCAAGAAATGGTTGAATAAGATTCTTAGATCATTTACCACTTTATTAATGAAATCAGATAGGACAAACTGAGGTCTTGAATTTTTCGTAGGTTTTAAAAACAGAACAAAATTCAAGAGAGTCTAGTCGCAACGATTTTTTAAATGGGCTTTTTACCGTTAAGTACCACGTTGCTGCCCACTGGCTCTTTGGCTAAACCAGCAAATTCCAAGGTAATGATATTGTTCACCAGGTATCTCCAAAATATCTTCACTTCCTCCAGGTAAGGACCCCACTTAGAAAACAGCCCAAAACTGCGGAAATCAGCTTTTGAGAGACGGAGTTTCAGGAAGAAACCTGACAGCCATTCTATGGTCTCCTGAACCTGAAAGGCACATACATTAATTCAGATCTGTTTAAATGTACTAATATAACACAATCATAGCAAACCACTTGAAAATATGGTTTATGTCTTACTGAGTTCAATGGGTAATTTATTTAGACTTTCTTTTAACTTAAAATAAAAGTTAAAATAATTCAAAGTGACGAGAAGACAATCATGTAGTTTTAGGGTAGTAAGGTGATCAAGTCAGAAACTCACTTGTTGAGGCGACAGGGAAATAGTGATGGCTCTAGAAGCAGAAGGTGGGTTTTTAATGGATTCCTTTTTGAGTGCAGAAGAACAACCCAGCACCCGCAGAGAAGACTTCCAGCATTCAGGACTAATGAGCTGGTCTGCTGAACCTGTGAGTGACACAGCATGCTCTGTTCTATGTACACAGGTACAGTATGTAGACAGGCATCACTAATGTGCCATGAAGAGAAAAATGTGACTTTTTATGGTGTAACCTTTATTTAAAACTGGTTTATTTAAGATATGGCCCACTTCTGGTATTTTTACATGGCACTTCTGATTGACAGTTTTTTTTTTCCAATAAGCAAAATCAAAGCTTCTAGATTTTGTTTCAGTGTATGTAATTAATAATAGGACTAATGGCAATTTGGGATAATAGCAACCTAACTCTTCCTATAGACAGCCATGATAAAAAAGCTGGCAATTATTTCCTGTCCACTATAAAAACAAAGAAATTCTATTCTAAAATCTGATAAGAGTTTTGCTTTCTTAACTTTTTAAGATACAATAGCACAGCTGTTACTTACTCTGCATAAGGAGCCGGAGAAAGTCACTATAGTGATCGGGGAATTGGTAGCTCAGTAACTGGGTCCAGTGTTTACAGAACAGGTTAAAAGGCATGAGGATCTCTGGCTCAGGATCCAGGCCACAGGCCGTCAGGGCCATGTGTATCAGCTCCACCAGCCTGCTTCTCTCAGGGAAGAGCGGCTGACTGGAGGACAGCCAGTGCATTAGGTCAAACTGGGTGAAGGGAAATAACAGAAACAGCCCAGGTCAACAGAGGAATGCACATGTACTTCCATGTTTAATTCTACATTCACAAAAATGAATGACTTTTTCACCAAGGTACCACCAACCACCAAGACAACAATTCACACAGACAATCCATATTAAAGAAAACCAAAGCAGTATAAGACCTGACAACAGCTATTCAAAGGGAATAATGTAAATTAACTAGAGAAAACTGTCCACGAAAGTTAAAAACATTCTGATCTAGAAAAGTCTATTTTTGCTTAATATAAAAAATAAACATCGGGGGTTTTGACATAAGAGCAAATGGATACCCAAAACACCATTTAGAGATGGAAGCTAGCCGGTTTCAGATTTAAAAGAACATAAGCAGATGTGGGAACCTTTGTGAGTAGCATGAAGACGACATCCCCGCTGTCAACATGCAGAGCTCCCACCACCTCTTCGTAGAGGGAGACCAGCTCTGCGGGCGAGGCGTTGGGGGTGAAGTAGGGGGAGAGCAGGTTGCAGAGCTGCCGGTTCTGAAGGATGGTCTTCAGCATTTTCTTGCACTCCTTTGGTGTGTCCCGGATAAAGACCTGACAAGAAGGGAAAGCAGAGCACAGCATCAGTACCTTGTTTTCCATAAACGATTGGATTGCTTATAGATCAAATGTGAGGGACAGTAACTTTATGATTAACATGTAGGTTTTTTATTGTTAAATTTACCATACTATCCAAAATGAAGTGGGATCACTGTGTATGTGGGTGGTATACATAAAGAAAAACACTTTGGCTTAAAGCCCTTATGATGTCTGTATAAGGTGGATTTAAGAACTTATGAAAGAAGATTTTTAAATAATGTAATATGATGCTATTTGTAGGACACAGGGGAAAAAAAGGAAACAGGGCGTTACCTGGCCCAGAATTTCAATGCAAGAGGAGAAGAACTGCCTGGTAGGAGGGTGGCGCTGGGTGTCTTCACACACAAACGACACCACTTTGTAAAAGACTGCAATCCCCACTTTCTGCACAATGGGAGTAGGATGCATCTTAAAGGTATTAACAAGGGCCCTAGTTAAAAAAAGATGACAACGAAAAGAACATATTAAGGTATTGCGCTGTCCGATAGGACAGATTTAGTATTTTATTCAGTGAAATAAACCTACCACAATACATTCCTGTTGTTACCAAACTGGGATTGGAAGTTGAATTAAAAAAATCTTATCATAGAGACTTGCTTTTACCAATTAATAAAGCCAATTTCAGACCGAGCTTATACAGTATATTCATGATTAAAGAAGCCGAACACAAAACAGGCACCAGGTGACTCAGCTGAGACAGACGCTCGCATGAGTGAGGACTGAGCTCCATGATCTATGATCTAGGAGTCGCAGGTTCAAGCCTTGTTAATGCCACCCGCTGACTGTGACTGTTTTCCTAAGTGACTGTGCACAACGGACTGGAGCTCCGCTGAGGGAGGGTGGGATTAGTCAGCCAGGTGTCTCAGTGACACACTGGCCACTGCAGCCTCCAGGGTGTTGATGGTGAACCTCCTGCATGAGTAACTTGAAGGTGAATGGGTGGGAGGAGTCTATTCTTCCTCATTCTCCTCTTCCTCACAGCCATGGGTTCATGACCATGAGCCGAGACGCAACAAACATCAAACAGGCTATTCCAAATCAGGTGAGAATACCAAAAAACAAAAGATGAATTTAAATTTGAAAAAGGAAAGACATTATTTCATCCATCACCAGTGTAACTTCAAAAGCCAATGTTTCATATAAGTTCCATTTCATTTGCTTGCAAGTTTGTCAGTCAGGACAGACATGGTCATTGTAACACAAAAGCTACTCTGATAGGTGGAAACAGGGGCTCTGAAACACCCAAGAAATACTACAGACTATTTCCTGATTCTTCCTGATTCTTTTCTGGAAAATGACCCTTCTGCAATCAGCCTGCACAACACAGTGAAGCACAGTGAAAGGACTGTTGACATTGCCCTGAACTGGCTTCTGCTGTCTATCGTTTATCAGTATTACTTATACTCACGTGATGAAATTCTCCATGTGCACAGCAGCTTCAGCTACGCTCTGTGGAGGGGGTTTCATGGCATCTGTCTGGAGCTGCTTAAGGTCTCTCTTCAGAGACTGGATCTGGTTTTGGATAGGCTCGAGCTTGTGAATTCCTTCAAACTGCAACAAAAATGCAAATAAAATAAAAATAAACGAATGGACACATACAAAAACAATAAAACATTACATTGTTACAAAAACAGTTAGAGAAGACATAGTTGGGTTGCTTTGACTCACAAACAACTTATCCAACATGTATATCTAAGCCTAATGTTTTGTAATAATACTGACATGTACTGCACATCCATCCATATTCTAATTACTCCATCCAATGCTGGATCACGGAGGAGCTACAGCCTATCCTGGAAAGCAACAGGTGCAAGGCAGGATACACCCAAGATGGAAGGCTGGGCAGACATGCACACTCTCACACTAGGGCCAGTTTTTCCAGAAGCCAGGTAACCTACTTGTAGGCCTGTACTGTGGGAGGAAACCAGAGCACCCAGAGGAACTCGCATGAACGTGGGGAGATCGTGCCATAAATCCATGCAGAAAACACCCCAGGTCCAGAAATGAAGGGCCCCAGTGCTGAGCAGCAGCAATGTTAATCACTGTGCCACCATAATGCTCTATACCATACATACTGTTATTAACTGAATTTAAAAAGGTCTATTCTGACAGTACAGTGCAAGCTATCTTAAGTGCAGCAAACTTCACGTTATCTCACGTTTATCACATGAGTGCACAGAACACTCTTACGAAATCAGTTTTCCCTGGTAATTTCAGGTATGAGCAGCCGAGAAAGACACAGGTCAAAAGCCTTGCTGACCATGACGGTGATGTGCGCTGGGCCCTGACAGGGCCTCCCCCCGCTGCCCCGACACTCCAGCTGCATGGACAGCTGCTCCTCTCGGTTGATGTAGAGCTGGGGGAGAGTGTCCAGCAGATCGTTGTCCAGTGCCACCTGCTGCAGCTCCCGCAGAGTGGCCAGCCTGCCAACAGAGCGCACTACACCCTCAGAGCTAAATCAGCAACACCGGGCAGCTTTGAAAATCACATTCTTCGTGAATTACAATATATTCCCCCATATTGAGAACAAGCATGCTTTTATATTTAAAATGTTTATTTAGATTTTTACTGCTATGGTACTTGTATAAGGGGTAGCGCCTCCTTTGGGTTTACTTTCTTAACCTGACACTAAGCTCTTTCCTGGACGTCTAGCAGCATGATCTTCCATCATCTTATTTTTGCATAACGTGCACAATTTCTTGTCAAGCAATCATTGTTGAAAAAAAAAACCCACTAAAATCTCTAACAAACAGAGTACCAAGAAAAGTTTTCAGTTTTCGTCCCTATAGTATTTACACATCACTTAGAAATAAATAAAAATGTACACAGTGACCATTCTAAATTTCTCTCAGTGTACTTGCACTTTTAATCTTATTTTCACACTAATTAAAATCACTTCCACACAGGAATGCAAGAAAAATGTACATGTTTATCAGCCAGCTGACTAATCTATATTATTTCACAGCTTTTCTGACTTACTTGGCCTGGTGTTGCAGTTTGCTGAGGTTCTCATGGATAAGCGTGGCTGCAGTTTCTTCATCAGACAAGCTTCCAGGTGAAATATCAGGGACTGGAGCTCTCATTCGTGACAAAGATGAGGGTGGTTGCGGAGCATCGTGTTTCTTTAGGTTATTCAGAATACGGTCTCTTGCTTCAGACAAAAATCACATTATACAATTCAATCAAAAATATTTTACTCATCCCCCAAGGGGGGAATTACACAATTTAGCTTACTATTCTTCCTGATCACCATTCACTATAATAAGTTTTCTTAATGTACTTATTTGCCTTAAACAATACAGAACACTTAATAATAAGTAATAATGTGATTATATATCAAGTAATAATGGAGTTCAGATGGAGATCACATTAACTTCCTGAACAGCCCCTTATTGTAAAATGTTATTCAAATATTTTTTCATATATTTTTCGTATCACGGTATCTACATCCTTTAAGTGTGAGTCATAGTAAGATGACATTATCTCAGATATTAGATATATCAATTTTGTAATGGCTTCATCCAATTTATCACAGAGGAGCCAGAGTCTACACAGCAGGCAATGAGCACAAGGCAGGGTACACCCTGGACTGGACGCCAGTCCATTGCAGGGCAGACAGACACAAACACAGTCTATGGACTGTGAGAGGAAACCCATATATACAATATGTTATAAATCACACTTAAATCGATTTATAATCAATCATTTTTAAACCATACAAGATAAAAAAATCTCAAAAGCATCAATGAGAAAGTGGATTTTTTGTGCTTGCATTGAGAAAAGCACAAGAGGAATCTGAAAAAAGAGTAAATCCCTTCGGAATTAACTTACCTGCCAGAGGGTTAATAAAATCAGTGAAGATGGATATGAAGTGGTTATGTTGAAACAATGGCTCAGTTTGAATTTTAACCCAGAGACTCAGAACTTCCTTCAACTCATGCTGGACTCGTTCAATATCAACAAACTCTATCCACATGTCCTGAAAAAAATGGAATGTTTGCAGCAAATTAAATACTATATATTGAATATATTATACAGTATATTGAATTTAATCTTGGCTGAGATGGAAATTAATTAAAGCCTGATGGGCTCTCTTTAAATTCTTACAACCTGTGAAATGTTATTTTGCTTTGTAAACTTCAACTACTGCAGCAAGTGGAAAAAAACGTTTTCATGAGGTTCTTTCTGTAACCCATTGAAAGGTCAAAAAAGAAGCAAAAAATAGTTAAAGATTAAATTTTGAACGAAATGCATTAAGTTAAAGTTTTGTCTGAATACTTAACAGGAAGACTGCTACTGTAGTGCAACTATAGCTTGAGGCTCAGGTTTCTACAATGTAGACAAGAAGTTCTTGAATAATATTGCTGATGCATTACACAGAGCATATACAGTAAGTGTGTTAAGGTTCCCAGCAAGGAAGCTGAACTCACAAATTAAAACTAATACACACATGTATTCGGGCAAGTATTAATATAGTCTTACAAAAAGTAATTTTTACAATACATATTTGGTAATATTTTAATTTAATTGAAAATGTTACAGAAAGTTGTTAGTGGTAGATTGTGAACAGTGTGGAAATCGCATGGTTCATGTGGCCATAGATGCACCAGAACTCATCTTTAACCCTCAGTGAACCTTTAAAATGCCATCTGACGTTACGTCATAACAAATATTTTTTCCTCACTTAAAAATTACTTTAAGAATGCTTTATTTACAAATTTCATTCACTGAAGTCTACTTTTAAGAGTTTTGTTCACACAGTAGGTGAGTTATATTAGATTTCGTGAGCGTGAGACGATGTGAGATGAACAACAGCTGGAAGAACAAAGGCCTGCCTTGTGTGTGACTCAGGAGATTCTCTTCATCCCAGCATGCAACTGGGCACAGACACCAGTTAACCTAGGCAGGAAACCAGAGCACCCACTGAAAAGCCATGCAAAACCTAGGAGAACATGCAAACTCCACGCAAAAGGTATCCCAGAACTGCCCAAGAACTGTGAGGCAGTAGCGCTAACTAGCATTCTGCCCATCTCCAGTTAATACACTCAGGAAGTGTTTTAATGTATTCACCAACCTGCTGATTTTGCATGATTTTGGCCAGCCGGTGTGCATCATACTGCTTTGGCAATGAAGGAAAATAAATTTCTTTTTTCTGCAGATTTTCATCATCCAGCCAAACAGCAAAAACACTGAACAGCCTGAAGGTAATATACAAATCCCATTAGAAGTCTAGACTTGATAGAATGTTTGAAGTTCAGACTTGAGAAGTCTAAAATTAAATTAAGATTAAAGTCATTTAAAAAAATAAAATATTTTATTTTCTCAACAGTAAAAGAGATACTTAATTATACAAATAATGTTCATTTAAGTAATTCAAGATTACAATGTTTTCCATCTCAATTCTTTGTATGTTTTCACACACTGAGGATGGTACAGATACACTGTAGATACGTAACAGACCTCAATTATATAAAAACATCCATCCATTTTCTAACCATTAAATCAAGAACGGGGTCGCAGGGGGAGCATGAGCCTACCCTGGCAAGAACTGGGTGCAAGGTAACACACTGTAGGGGACCCCAGTCCATCACACGGCACACATAGACACAAACACACACACGCTCACAACAGGTGCAATTGTTCCAGTAGCCAACCAGTATGTCTTTGGACTGCCGGAGTTAACCAGAGTAAACCCACACAAACACGGGGAGAAAATGCAAAATCCAGCACTGCTAATCACTGCGTAAGCATGCCGCCCATTCAGAAGAAACTTCCATAGTTATTATAATTCTATAAGTTATTTCCCTTTGAACGTATTAAAAAAAAACTTGCTATAGAAATGCGTATATTTTTTGGCATTATATAACAAAATCTGAAATCTAATAAAATCACAAACAAAGTTACTTTATGCATGCAAAGAGAATCTAATAAATCACATGGGAACAATAAAGCTATCAGGCGGAGGATTAACCCTCCCACCAGTGGAAAGTGTGCAAGTACCTGACCAGTTCTGTGTGCAGTTCTGGGGAGGTCATGTACTCAGTAGTGGGGGTCGCAGCATTGACTTCAGCCTCGCTGGGCTCAGAGGTCCTGGGCACCTTCAGGGCTTTGCTGGCTGCGTGGTGGAAGTCAGCCACTTCCACCAACCGCTGTCGCAGCTCCTTCAGCAGGCTGGAGTGTGCCGGGCTGTGAAAGTAGCGCCGCCCGATGCAGCCCTTAGCCTCCAACCTGGAACCAACACACATACTGAATACATACTGAAGATGACATGCAGTGTCGAAAGGTCTTTAAAGGCATACATCACCCGGGTAACACAAATTATTTTTGAATAAAACTCTTGAATGGAAGAAAAGATACTGCTTCATTTTCACAGCATTGATTCAGGGTTAATAAGAACTGAAATGAATATTTTTCATTAGATTAGGTTCCAAATGACAAATGGAATACCTAAGATGCATAATAGATAGATAGATAATACTTAATTAATCCCATAGGGAAATTGATTAAATAAGAAAAGAAGAAGAAAAAGAAGGAAGAAATAAAAAAAAAGAGACATACAGAAATGAAGGTCCAGAGAGAAGACATTTACCCAAACTCCGGCCCAGGCTGGCGCAGATAGAGCAGGAAGAATTTCTGCCAGATGAGAGGAAGGAGAGGGTGGTCTGCAGGGGTGGTGAGGGCCTGGTGTGCCCAGCGATACACCATCAGCCTCTGTATGGATGGCACTACATGCAGCTTGAGGCGCGCCTGTGCTTTCTGTAGATCCACACAGACAAGCGGTCAGGGATACACTGCGCACGGTTGGGGGTGGGTTGGTAGCAAAGCAGGTCAATTCGCTGCCCAGAAACCTTGCATGTTCCTTGGGAATTCTAATTAGAAGCTATAACAAACCTTTCTTTACTACCACATATAAAACCTCTGAATAATAATGACTTGTTTCTTCCGAATTTAGAAAAAGCAAGTTTCTTACTATACATTTATAAATTTAAACTACATATGCTAACAAGTAGATCAGAGGTTGTGACTAGAGAAACACCATGAAATACAATGTTTCTCGCAATACCTTTTTTTCACGGAAATTACCTTGAGAGCCTGGTCTGGAGGGAGAGAGGGGCTGGTGAGCAGCTCCTGCTCCACACAGCGGCGTAGCTGAGAATCCTCCTCAAAAATAGATTCCATGTTCAGGACCACCCAGGCAAACCAGACCTGAGAACACAGAGGGGAGGATGGCAGACTCTCACAAGCACCCATTCGAATCAATATCAATAACAGTGAGAAACAGAGCTCATCTTCTAAAGATGCATGAAGACAAGTTCTGATTGTTCATAAGGAGACATGGCCTTACCTCTCCAGGCAAAGAGTTCCCCTCGATGAAGGACGGCGTAATATTTCCAGCAACAATCCAACCAACAAAGGATGACAGCAGCCCCCGGTCCCCATGGTAACCCAGCGCATTCTACAAGAAGAAAATAAGTGTTTCATTCCAAATACACATACCTGACAAACCAGGAAGGAAAAAAACATAGCTTTCCAGCTTCTCCCAGTTACCTTGTGCTGCTGATAGAGCAGCTTCTGCAGGCACTCTTCCTGCTGGTGTAAAAAAGCAGCTCGACACAAGTGGTCCAGAAGATACAGGATAGTCCTGTCCCTGTGCCAGAGACTCTGTGCCGTCAGAACTTGGGCCCAGAACTCCAGCACAGCGGCTGCACCCACCCGGCCAGGACAGGAGCTCTCCGACACATGTGTCTGGAAAAAGTAGAATAAATCCGTTACTGAGGAAACTCAGTGCTAAGCTTCATGAGGAAAACAAAATAAGTCTGTAAAACTTGCTCTTCTGAGTGTTTGCATTAGATATAGTGGGACTGATGTATATTTAATCCTAGAACACAGAGGTAACCGATGCTTAAAATTAAGGCTCGTAATATTTGCAGATTAGACCCATTCAACACATTATACAGCACTGCTTTGTTAAAAACATGTACAGTATTGAGCATCTATGGTCATACTTTGTGTTATAGTAATACACTGATAAAAAAGGTTATCAGGATCCATGGAACTGAGATGTAAAAATATGAGATATCTCGTTCTATGCCATACCTGGATGACGCTGTTCAGGAGCTTGACGTTTTCACCGTAGGATACCCCGGTCAGGTGTTGAGCGACTTTGTGCGTGACTTGCTGTGTCACACCCTGTGGAGTCCCACTGTCTAACAGCAGAAACAGCTGAATGCAGCTCAGAAATCTATTCAGCACACAAGAGAAGAAAAAAAACAAGAGACTTATAATAACTTACCTCTGTTAATTTGTCCTTGTACTTTAATGAAAATTTTAAAAGCTAGTAAAACAGGTTAACAATGTAAGTAATTTCATTGTACTTAATTGATAATTGAATATTTTTTTCATTTTGACTTAGTAGTGTCCTTTTCAATTCTGTCATTTTATGAAAGTGGCTCTCAGACAGAACAATATCTGAACAATTTGTTGTCTATATTGAAACAAGTGAACACGGAAAGAAGAGTATTAAATAGTGCTCCTTAACTGTTCATTCTTGAGCAGATAATACTGACAAGGGTAGACTAAAGGCAGAAGGTTTTCAAGGACATGAACCACAGCTCGCAGGTAGCGTGACTGGACCAGGATCTTCAGCAAACTCACTCCCTCACTGCAAAACTGCTCAAGCCTGCAAAGCCAGAAAGATTTATAACCTACAACGTCTGAAATGACTTCAATGCATTCAATAACAGATACTGTACAGAGGGAGCACATAATAAGCAAGACAAAGAGAAAAAAATAAAGGACTCAGAATTTTTTTAATACATAGTTGCAGATACTTTACTCTTTAAAAACATTTTTCTTTCATGCTCCATAATTTTCAATTTAGAAAAATCTAGAATGGTGATGTGAGCAGATCACATAAAAACAGTATAACAAACCTATACAAAAAAACAATTAAAAGAAGGAAAAATCTTAATTGACAAGAGGCTATGTATTAACACAATACATTTTTAATGGAGTAGATGAAACCCACATCATCCCAATAGAAGTAATCTCATCCAATTGTCATTTGTGTCATGGCTTGAAATGGCATCCATTATTACCTGTGCCCGAGAGTGGTCATCACTATAGCAAGGAAGCATCCAATTGGTATTCCAGCTTTCACTGCTTTGAAGACAGGGTGCATGGTGGGAGTCTCTGTGACTTCTGGGATGTCCAAGCTAGTAGAGGGCAGGGGGGACCAGGCATCCTGGGGCCTGCGGTCATTGGCATGCAGTTTCAGTCGTAATACAAGATCCCATGCCCACTGATTAAAGGAGGCTTCTGGTGTATGACCCATGCGGACCACATTGGCTAGATAGGAAACCTACAAGCACAAATAAAGTAGAGTGTTGGGATTAGAACCCACTGGTTCATTTGTTGAATAGAACATAAAACTTGAAAAATATTAAACAAGCACAAGCTCTTCAGTCAGTTTTTGTGTGCAGGGTGCTACATCAATTCCTAGCTCATGCACCTTGAAATCACAATAGGAATCTACTATATTGTCCACATACTGTACAGTGGAAAACTTCCTTTGGTCTCATTGAGACAACAATAAAACAGTGTATACAGAAAATATTAACTGTACACCAATATGTTGTATTCAATGATTATGTGACAGAAAACTATTTTAAGAACAAACTATTATGTGTGAAATTATATTGTTCGTCCAATTTTACTACTTATGTTTTTGAAAAAAAAATACTCATTTTAACTTGCATAACTGCTTGTGGGACAACTATTCTATAGATTTTCAGCCTAAGCTTTCAGGTTTCAAGGGAGGATTGCATTTGAATGCAGTTTAATTGTTGGGATAATGTATTCCAGCTGTTCCAATGTCCAAAAACATTGCATTATTATCTTTCCTCTTGGCCTTGTGTCCTTAATATTCATTAAAAATTAATATAAACTAAACTTTTATTTTATTAAAAAAGTAAACCTATTTCTAGACCTCAGCGTTGCACAAATGCCAGACAGCTGACCTTCCATGTGGTGTTAAAAGGGAACCCTTATGTCATCTTTTGTATTATATCCTGACAAAACCACTTATTTGTCAGAAGTAAAGCAATGACAAGGTGCCAGACTCATAATCTGATGAAGAGCTTTAACACCTCTTCTTAGTACTGGTCCGTTGTGCCAGATTTCCTATGCATTTTATTCTTTCATTCATATTCGAAAAGCACTTAAATTTTACGTGGGATGAAAAAAGCACTCAGCTCTCTGGAAACAACTGACATGCGGAATGTTAATTTCAGAAAAAAATTTTCCATCGGAAGAAATATCAGAAAACTGCCACTTAAGACATTAAAAACTCTTTTGAAAGAAACTTAGTTAATATGAGCAATTTCTTCTTTGTGTTTATCAGTCTATAAATCCCATATCACAAAGACATCAACACAATGTTTCTAGGACAAATGCATGAATACACACCGACTATATTTACTTAAACAGTACAGAAGTAATTAAAGTCTAAATCAGCCAACCTGCTTGATGCTCTCAGAGATGATCCCGCTGTAGGGCTTGTCAGTGAGATATTTCTGATAAGCTTCCACAACCAGCAAAGCTACTTCAGAGTGTAAAGAAGGATCAAGCACAAGGCAGTCACTCTGTAAGATAAGGAGAGTGTTGCATGTAACTCAATCAGAGGAAAGACCTTTACTTTCTTTGTTGCATGCATACTGCACCTACACAACTTCAAGTCCTGCACTACAAAGTATTATTTTATTTTTCTTTCTTACAGTACCACACACCAAGCTAAGAAATACTGCTTGCCAGACAGACAGCACTCACCCTAACAAATTAATATGTTGGAGAGAAAGTTAATGCCATGTTTTAAAAATTTCAGAATTTAATTGATTGTAAAATACTGGTGGAAAGTAACAACTCAATACTGGATTGCATTTCATTCATATTTTTCACTAACAGGAGAAAAAAACATCAATTGAGACCAAAAAGAAAACACACTTGCTAAATTGAACATGCTGCAAATGCACGGATGGTACACATATTGAAATTGCACCATAAATATACATACATTCTAGTTCTGAATCATTACCAAGGAATAATATTAATTTACTACATGCTAATTAGGGAAAAAGGATGTGTCAGACCAGAAACAGAAACCCTGTTAAAGATAAACAGTTGTGTGCAAATCCTGCTCTGTTAAATTTCGATCAGGCACACTGCCATGCTAACAAGTGCAACTTTGGAAACAGTCACAGGCCTAACCCTACCTGTTCATGGAAGCCCCAGTTCAGCCCTTCCAGAATGATGCAGGCCAGTTTGTTCTCCACAGCGGATAGACTGTATCCCAGCAGCCACTCCCGGATCACGCCTATTTCTGCAGCCACAGGCTTCCACAGGTGCAAAGGCAGCTCCTTGAACAAATACAGGGACACCTGACAGCAAAAATAAGCCAGGTTATTAAAACCATCCAGCACAGGTTATTTATAGCCATAGGTGCTAGAAAAAGCTTTCTGTGATTCCAGTCGAACACTGAGGTAATGCTTCCATTTTAGGGTACATTCAATTAAATGTCTATATGCCTGTGGACTCTTACAGAGTCTAAATTTAAAGCACACTTTTTTAAATTTTGAATTTAAAGTTAACCTGATGTCTAACCAGTAGCCTAATGACCAAACTGTATTGTACAACACTGCAGGATTACAATTTACAGGAATCAAAGTAATGAGGAGAACTAAAGAAAAGCCATATTTGTAGTAAATACCACTTCTACAAAATGTATTTCCTTTACTTTAGAGACAAAGTTGGAATAAAGGGTTTAACACGAATTTGCAGTCCCTCAACCAAAGCTGCACTCTGTCAATTCCTCTTATCTTGTCACCTTGTTTTTAACCAATTCTAAACCGATGCTAAGCTGTTACTGAATACTCCAGAGCAAAAGGTTGACCCACCATTCCCACTTTGTCAATGGTTTCCCGGAGCCGCTCCAGTAGCACAGAGATGATGCTTGGATGGGCCGTTGCTATGGCAGCAAGCAGTTCCCGGCCCACCTTAGAGAAAGTTTCTCTTGTAGCCACACTAACGTAGGACACCTGACAACAAGAGATAAACACTGAGCCTTGGACTACACAGAAACACCTGAATCTAAAGCTAAACTAAGTTCATCCTAAACCAGTATTGTAAATGATACAAAAATGTGTTTAAATAATTTTTCAAGTAATTTTCTACATTCTAAAACTACAAACAGTTCTGGTCGTAAATTGGCTTCCTCTCAGGCACATAATAGAGGAAAACATCACCAACATAACCTGTATCTGAATACACCACAGCTGAAGACTAGAAGTGATGACATTTAAATTCTATATAATTAAAACAATGTGCACCCCAAAGAGAAGCAGCTGTGCACTGACACAGAATCTGCAAATGCAGTCCAAGATCAATGTTGCATCAGTATAAATTTCTCTTTTTCTCAAAAGCAGTAATTAAGATAAAAAAGCACCTGTAGCTTAAAGTTATCTCAATACAAAGCTAGAGACCCATCTGTGTGTTCAGACATTATAAACTTTGAGTAATATGATGCATTAGCTTTGATTTATTACTCTTTCTAGGCAATCCAGTTAAGATGAACACTGGATTTCCTTATCTGTCATGCCTATCCTGATATCTAATCTAAGCCAGCACTTCAGTTGTGTAATATCAGTCTTATTCATACATACATGAGTATTAATGTACGTGATTAAAATATTACATACAGATCTTATGAATCATTAACACATTAATTGGACGACACACAGGAAAATAACCAGCCCCCGAACTTTCTCCATACCTCATATATTTGCAGCACTATTGTTTGGACAAACTCAGGGTCTGCATCAGTGCGTTTGGGCTGGGCCATGTGTGCAAATGTAGTGAGTAAGCAGATCCCATCAGAGCTGTTTATCTCCGACAGCCAGCTTTCAAACTTCTCCTGCTGTTCTGGGTCTGCAAAAGGAAAAATATTACCACCTTTAAGAATGAGAGCCCTGCCAACCTCAGACACAAGAGCATATTTTCTTCACTGACAATCAAACTACTGCAAAAACACAGCCTTTTCAAAAAAGAGACAGAGCACAGAGAAAAATAGAAGCCACAGGGACTCAATACGGAATTGATCAGAATGCTGTTATTTAGTTTCTACTATACAGCAAATACCTGGTTTGCAGACTTTTCCTTATATATAGGTTTAAAACTGGTATTGAAATACGATACCTTTGTATTAAAAAACTAAACTATTTTTGCACTTTGTCCCAAACATGCAGTTGCTTATTAGCTCAATTTTTCTGTGTAATGTCTTACGTCATTCGGTCTATAGGTAGTTAGCAAGCAATATGAAAGGAGGAAAATACAAAAAAACAAATCCTATTTATATTCAAAGTCACTTTTTGCTTCAATTTTGGAAGAAAAAAAAAACAGGCACTCACTGGATCAACGATGCCACAATGAAAAGTCCTAACACAAACATTGGAAATTCCAGAAGTAATTTCAGTTGTAATTTACTCACCACCCACTCCTTAATGTCATGACCATTACCAATAAAGGGAATTCACTTTTGAGCGTTATTTGCATACCAATTATTTTCCAAACGATCTAAATTTCACAAAAGGCAGAGTCAAGTGCGACACACCAGTACAGCCTCACACTCTCAGAGTGAACTTAAAAAAACAAAACAAAACAATAAAATATTCACCTTTCAGCCTCTGAATACAGGCTTCGACACTAAGACTGGAACTTCGCCAGTCTGTGCCTTCCGTTTCTGTACACTGCATGATGTAGAAGATTTTCCAGAGCATGGTATTTGAAAGCGTTCCATAGGGCATCTCTGACATGAACAGCCATATCCCCAGCCTGTCACAAAAGAGTTAGAGAATTAACTCAAAACCATGAACCAGATGTCCCTTTCCCTCATTTTCAAGAATGACTTAGAGGAGACATTTATATCAACCAGAAAACTGACTAATTGCTTATTTTATATGTGCAGGAAACGTTTCAACAAGAAATCCCAAGAAATGCAAAGTGGAAAAGACAGCAAACTGGCAAAAGCTTACAAGTGCATAGAAAAAAAAAGAAGACAAATACAACACAGTATATTTCCTTCATGTTGTTAAGCTTCACAGTGTGTCAATTAAAACACTATAAAGAAGAACAGTCATTGAGGTCATGGAATGTTTGTTTTTAAGACAGAGTTTTTTGTGGATCTTAAAATAAAAAAAGTGCTTTAGGAGTTTAGGAAAAAACATTTCTCTAGGATGCCTTTAAGGTGGGTTTGTTGGAAAAATGTATGTCTTGTGAAGTAGCATACAAAGGCAACATATGACTCCATGGCATTTCCTATTATTTATATTTATGAAGTCTTTCCTGCTGAAAACCACTGTGACAAGCCAGGAATAGAAAGGACAGTTTTAGCTGACCTGCTACTAGACGTCATTATTGGTCATACACAGGTTCACATGTTGTCCACTGATTATTTACTTAATGAAGGGCTGAGAGCACATGGGTTTAATTTAGGCTAGTTTGGTACAGTATATAAAGGGACTCACTGGTGGTGATTTAGTTTAGAGCAAGTCTGTCTTGACATTTGGCTTAATAAAGTCTCTGTTTCACAGTGGTTTGCTGTCCGTCGTGAATTAGTGACTGTGTCTGCTCCATTTCCTAACTTCTACTGCACTTCTAACTGTTTCTCATATATACTTACTTTGTAACTGGCTATCCTTATTTTTGTTTTGTAAAAGCTCTTTGAGATACTACATTGAAATAATGTTTACAATAATAATTATGTATTCAGCACCTGTTTGGAGACAGACCTGACGCAGACGGATTAAAGGGGACAATACTGAGTCAGCCCTTGATTCCCTACCCACCTTTTAGCCTTGAGCACATGCAGCATAGCTCTCAGGAAGAGCTCGTCAAACTCCACCTGCAGTTTTTCCATGGAAAAAGACTGTTCCTGCATCGTGGTCCTGCCAACCCCACTCACACTGACATACTGAGCCCAGTGGTCACTCACATAGCACAGCGTCATCCTGTCGGAAAGACGGGTCAATCAATTTATATCAGGATCTTTATAATTTAAATCGGCCCAGACAATTTTCCATGTACTGCTGTCAACAAGGATTATGAATGATCACGAGGCAAATGTACACTTTCCAAACACATTGCAGAAAGCATCCTCTTCTGCTTTAAAAAGTTGCATTCTAGTACGGACTGGAAATCTGCTAGTTTAAACCTGCTAAAAAGACATTCTTGAACATCTCAAAAAAAATGTCCAACGGAAAGCACAGACTGCCAACAAACATTTGCACATTCATATCACCCTAATATTTATTCTGGCTCTTGAAATTGAAAAATTAAAGCAAAAATAGAAAAGAGTTTCAACATAAAGTATTATCATCAAAATAAGCATAACTTAATTTTACACCAAAACAAGTCTTCTATGATCTCTTGATGGTGCTGTCATACTTCATGGCATGAATGTTTTTAGTATAACATAAGGACATCTTCAGATAAAAAGGGAACACAAGCTTCCTCCAGAAGAGATAGAGAAAGCCTTTTCATATTTACATATTCAGTTCTGGAACAGATCATATCAGAATCCTAGAGGTACAATTCTAGAATGCAAGTGCAAATGTACCTACTGATACAAGGAATAACATTTGGCTTTAACAATAGAGGATTTCATTTGTCATGCAACAGTAACTCTTGTGGCCAATCAGGAGCTTGTAAACCTGTGAAATCTGCACTAGTCCTCCATCTGATGCCTAACATCTGCTGTGGGTGAGCACTGACACTATGAAGGGAATCGAATGGTTTTGCCAGTGGACATTGTGTAGGAAGAGTAGATGTGGTCTTCATCTCTCTCTAGGTCCAAGGATTGCAGCAGAATGATGAGTGCACTGGCAATCAAGCATTTTAAAATACTAGGTGATATTTAAATAAATTTAAAATTTAAGAGAATGAGAAGATGAAAAATAATGTATGACGAAAAGAAGATGGTTAAATAGGGGACTGACTATTTGAAGGATAACAATCAATAAAATATCTAGGCAAGTTCAGAAACATAAAGCTGCTTACAGCCTTCCACAACTGCAAGAACATAATGTTATGAACGACAGTGGCTCTTCTGGCTAAAGCTAACAACTGTGCTAAGACACAATAGAAATCACGATAAACTTTGGAGAGACTTTTGTTTAGTTTAACCCCTGCAGGATACATTTAAGGAACCTGTAATCTACCTACCTGATCATGTATCCAATGCGCTTTACAAACTGTCTATAACGAGCTCTGTTGTACGTTTCCAGACCAAAAGCCAACAGTTCCACCAATGAAGAAGCAAAAGCAAAAATTTTCATCATCTTCTGGCTGGTTGTTGCCTGAGGCTGATAATTATCTAGACAGCAATAACAGGAGGAAGAGCCAAATTAGGGCAGAGGAGCATGTGGATTGTAATTATCAGACTATTCTGATGATCTTTCAAGCTGCCAAGATGTCCTCAATGCATTGTTTCTAGATTACAGACTGTGCAGCTGTTGTTCAATGTTCCCTCATTATTATTCCTTGTCAAGGCTTTCTACTGTGACTTTATAGCAACCCATTGTAAGGCTGATGATTCTTGGAATAACAAAGAAAAAGTGGATTACAGAATCTAGTTAATAAAATTGTGATTAAGAATGACATTAATAATACTTTCTACATTTAGTGATATGTAAAACAAATTGTAATTGTACTGCTTTTATATGAAAGAGCAACATGAGCAACAATTTGCTCATGGAGGGGAATCCCCATTACCTGTAAAGCGCTTTGAGTGGAGTGTTCAGAAAAGCGCTATATGTGTAAGCAATTCTTCTTCTTCTTATTATTATTATTATTAAAAATGTACATGAGATTGGCATTTTCAGCAAAAAACCAGCAAAAAAGTATCATACTATATACACATTTGGCACTAAACATGAGAAAAAAATGTATCAAATAGAGCACTCGACTGTATACCTTTTGAGGTCATTCCTAACAAATGCTTGAAAAGCTCATCAAATGGAAACTGAGAGAACAGAGCAATTAGATCATCCTCAGCAAGAAGTAGCCAGCTTGTTTCAGGATCTTCATCCTGGGGAGGAGAAATGTCTGTCAAAAAACTTTCTGGCTCCACGAAGGTGAAATTCAGCAGAAGGCAGAAATACTACCAATAAAGACAAAGTCCTAACCATTGAATGATTTAAATTTTCTTCAGAGTGTACTTGACCACTGCATAAAACCTGCCCCTATGGCATTTTATATGCTCTGTCCAGAGCACAATGTATACTGTACCTATCAACACATGTGAGAGTATCCAAAAGTGGCTAACGTTAGGAAATAAGAGTTTCTCTGTTCACTATTCTGAACAAAGATATTCCTTATTTACAGATTCCTTAAAATGCACATACTGTAGTACCCTTAGTATATGATAACCTCAATTTTGATCTCTCAAAGCAGCAGGAACGAATCTGGTTGTCTGACTGCAGCTAAACACAAGGTGAGGTTCCATATTCTGTCCCTTTGCTCCACTGGATCTTGATATCATTTACATGGAGCTCTCTGAGACTCATGTCTGTGGGTGAGTTGTCTATAGGGTCCTCTGGTAGAAAGCCATGAGGGTTGGGGTACCAATAATGTGGGCAGGGCTGATTTCTTGATGGGATTAGGAAAAAATGAAAATGAATTAAAAATTGGCTTTACAAAAAGGATGGCAGAATTAGTCATTGTGTTCGGTTTACCCAGTAGACATGCAATTTCCACTTGCTTTGGATGAAGAATGACTTTTTTGTAATTTCTGTAGCATATATTTTTAAAACTTGATCTCATTCTATTCAAAATATTTTTACAATAATTAGTGATCTATAAAATCACAGTTTCCCTCTGCGGTGGGGATTAAACACAGAGCCAGCTCGTCACCTCCTCTCCTCCCTCGTCCACCAGCGTCCAGTTCCCAGACTCCTTTCCTGACTTGCAGCTGGAGTTGGCCGTCCTCTCACAGGGCTTCATGTGGCAAAGGAAGTCCTCGCGATTGCTGCAGAGAACAGATAACCCCCTGGAGCTCATACACTGCAGAAGTCTGAAGGCCAGTGGATTTGATCTGTGCTAGGTTAGGTTTCTGTATTCGAGAATCTATATTCTTTAACTTCAAATGCTTTTAATCTGTTTAACACACCTGAAACACTTCAGGTCTAAGGTAAGATCATTTATTGTATACATAGTTCAATATGTAACTCTGATGATACATATTGCTTGAATATGCTGTCTTTGACATAAAAGTTTCAAAACAAGGTTAAATTGGAGGGCTACAAATTTTGCAATGATATGTTTTTAGTGCTTATGTCAACTTTATCTGAAGTTAACTCTAAGACAGAATGACAAGGTCAGTAGCAACAGTTCTGTTGTTTTAAAAGTTGCATTAAAAAAATGCATGCATAAAACACGAGAAATCAAGCTAAACTGGTTACAAAGGACACTGTCAGCAAAATAAGAGCTTTTAATGGAAATTCTGAAAAGATAACAGACGATAAACTAAATACATTGCTTCATCATCTTTGCTACTCTAACTCATGATTCTCTTTGATATCACTTCCTGAAAAGTTATTAATACCACAGCAAGCCTTTCTCTTCCTTTATCTTTCTGCATCCCTCCTCACGCCAGTGCCACCTCTGCAGCTACCTCTCGGGCACCGCTTCACTCTGCATGCGGGTGCTAACATCCTCATTCTACAGCCAGGGGGTAACCCGCAGCCTTGCAGAAGCTTCCCATGTCTAATTTCTCAAAACTGTGTCTTGTGAATGGCAAGCTGGCAGCTCTACAACACTGATAAGGAAAGGGGCAGGCATACAGTATTTTTTAAATGCAATGTCAGAGTATTTCTGTATAATCAGAGTATTTCTATCTAATTTATAATAATCCTATGTTCCAGATTTGCTGTGAAAGATTGAAAATTATATTATTTTAGCACTAGTTTAATTAACTTAATATTAGCATACTTATTATTTTTAATAACAAACGGAAGTAACTAGAAGCAATCAATTGAACAGTATTCTGCTGGAGAACCAGAGAGAGGGATGGCCTCTAAATTGCCTTCAGAGGAAATATAAAAAACTGCAGTGCCATCTAGTGGCCATTCTATTGACTAAATACCGCACTAAAACTCACGGCTTGGTTTAGTTAACCAATGCAGAAAGAAGAAGGAGTCAGTCCAAACTGGTAAGTGCATTTCAGAGAATAATAGGCACATCTTGTGAAAGTATGGAATGAACTACACAGACATTGCTGTTGAAACTGATACCCTGTCTACTTACTCTAAGAAATGGCTGGACAAGATCCTTGGTTCAATTAACAACAAACTACTGAAAAGGCTAGACGGTTTACAACTGATAGGAGGCAATAAAGCTATGCTTATTTATTCAGTACCCTTGGTATGACATATGCCATAATAACATTCACCAATGGCTAGTAGCAGGATTGCCCACCCTGTGCCCTGACTCATGCATGAAGCTCCCAAGGCACTAACTGATATAGATGTCTGGTAAGCACCCGTGGGAGAGGTGTCCCATAATGAAAGACCTATAACAACCTTACAAATGCTGCACACTCTCCACCAAAACTCTTGCTCAGTACTAGAGTTCTGTGCAAATCATTATCCCTGGCATTCACATGGAGTATGTTAAGTTTTGATTTATCATAGAAAATTACATCTTTCATCCACTTGTTGCCCAACATTAATAAGTTATTAAATGTTGGCAAGGATTTAGTCACATGGGACTGTTCTGTCATTTAAGATCACTTTATTGGCCATATACAATTTCTTGCATTAGGAATTTGTCTTTTTTCACATACCCCAACTTGCTGTCCGTGAGACACAGAGACAGGGAGAGAAGCTTGGTTTAAGAGCGCAGGTTCAGCCATTTATACAGTGCCCAACGGCTCAGGGACCCAACGGAGTAGGATTCCTCTGCCAGCTGCGGGATACGAACTGGCAACCTTCCAGCCACAGAGCCACAGCACCGCCCCATTTATTGGCCAATAACCGCATTTGCTGCAGCTCTGTCCCATCACAGTGACATTCTAGCACTTAACGTCCCATGGCATGTTTCCTAACCCCAAAATTTATCAGCCAGGTTCATCCTGCAGATGAATAGATGATTGATATGACTCTTTGACATCATGTTTTTAAAGGGCAGGGATGTGAGCAAAGAATGGGCTTTGGGTCATCGCCATTCCCAAATGACATTCAGCACAATTCATGCTCTGTCGCATTCATCACCTGTCACTGAGAAATTATGTTATTTTCCATACCTGATAGTTTTCCCCTAAAAGGATGTCACTGCATTTTCATTGCCTCTCGTGATATGTATACTCTTTATAGTTTAGAGTCCAGTTCACTCTGGTCTAAAGATCATAATGCACCTGGTCCCCTCTACGACTGCAGACTACACTCACCTTACTGGGGACATCAAGATGGCCAAAGCCTGCATGAAATGGTAAACTCCTGAGGGGTTATCCAGCACTCTTATCTAGAAAAACAGAAAATGCATAAGAAATCAACTTGAAAAATGAGTCAATGTAAGGTGTACATGCCAAATTTAATTGAAAACAAATATATGAATGCACATACTGTAATAAACCAATGTGACAAAATGAAAACTAAATCTTTCTACATACAAGACACACTTAGTGATGTATTTAAAATACTTTCTGATTGAAATAAGAATAAAGAAAAATAACCACGTACAGACTGTATTTGGCTAATGACTAAATGACCACAGTTGTGGTATCATAGGCAGTAGAATGCAAAGAATTAAACTACAGAAAATCTATATGTGGCGTTTTGGAAATTAAGATTTTATCACTAATGGTTCATCCTTCTCACAGAATTAAACCTGTTAATAACACTAAGAAACCCAGATCTCCTGCCTGTTTTTTTTATTTAAAAAAATAAGCAATAATAATACTGTGATACTGGGTTTTTCCATCCTTCTGATGTGTATAAATCTGATCACAGGTTAACATCTTAAATTCGCTATTTATGAGCCAATTCATCCTTTATTTTAATAATATATTTTGCCTTTATAACTTACTTTGCATCTATCAAGACCAGTAGATTAATATTGCTTGGCAATATAAAATGGAGAGAAAACATGCTGCAGATCTGAGCTGAGCCCGATCAGAAGGGAGGCCCTTACCTGCAGAAAAGATACTGCCCACTTGCCCACCCCAGCAGGGCACATCAGGAGGTGGCAGAGCAGGTACAGGTGGTCACCAGCAGAGCCCACCTTGTGCAGGACAGCCACCTGAATCACAAAAAAAACTCCCTTAGCTCTGGGAAGTAACAGATTTTAAAAAAGCCTCTACCCACATACAGTATGAAATACAGTTTTGTTTAAACTTAGACATCTTGATTAGAGATAGGGGTGATGGTTAGGTTTTAGGCTACTGATCATAACATTAGCGGTGGCACTTATAATTCCTAGTTTAAAGATGGTAAGGTTACACTGTGTTAAGGATAAGTTAAGAATGTAATTGGTAGAACTAGATGAGCGGTCTTGGGTTAAGTATATGGTTACTTTGGACAAGGGTTATGGTTAGGTTTAAGGCTTTGGACAGATATTGGGATAAATTAACATTACTATTGACAGTGCTATGGGTTAATTTTTGGCAATACTATGGATTTGAGTCAGGTAGATGAATAGGCTTACATTAAATGTAATCTGGGTTTAGAGTTAGGATAAGGTAGTCTTTGGGGTGCCATCATATTAATGTTAGATTTGATGTTTGGGCTCAGGACAGAACTGTATCAGGTAGATGTGTCAGGTAGGTGTTTAGATTAAGACAAAGTGGATGGGAAACAGGGCTCGGCCTGTTTAACAGTCCATCTGCCACAAGAGGCTGATAAAGGGGATCTACCTGTTGTAAATACTCACTCTTGGCGTCAAGTGTTAGATTATTGGTGTTGGCTGTATAAATGTGTATTCTCACACGGGTGTAATTACTGGGTTAATTTGATGTATAAAGGTTGCAAATGGTTTTAGTGGCTTTTTTAACATTTCTATTTTAAATCTAGAAAAATTCCTGAAATAAAGCCTCCCATACCTACTACTTTGATGTGACTGTGAAGCTTTGTGTATTCAAATTTTTGGGAGCACCCTGGGTAAGAGTGATGACCCAATCAGATGAGCAATACATCAGGAGGGACTGTCTGTGCTTCCCCACACTGACCTGATGTCAGCCCCAGACGCTTGGGGGGGGTGGTAGTGTGAATGATACAGTAACCCCACTGGCCACTGGCTGAAATATGCCAGAAGGGACCTACTGTACATAGGTGTGGCAGCTTTGAAGAATCTGGGCATCACTGGCACTACTGCCCCAATCTAATGAACCCCAGCCATGCATGCCTTCCTACTCAGGGAAGTACACAGGGTGAGATTTAAATCTAAATAAACAGGTTTAAACCTAGGAGAGATGACCTCATGGTGCTAGTGGAGGCTGAGGTTTTTTAACATTGCCTTGTTGCCTTAAAAAAAGCTTGGAATAAGCCCTTGTGCACGTACTTGGAGTCGTTATGGAGTTGTGTGCACAGGAGGACTGCCACAGTTAAGGGTTGGGTTTGTCCCAGTCTGCCTTGAGTTTCCATTTGGAATAGGTGTGAGATCATAATTAATTTTAGATTCAGGCTTAGGTTTTCATTTTGGGTTATGTACAGTTAATATTTGAGGTTAATAAATTACAGCACTGTACAAAACAGTTGCAAAGATTTCTAGCAAACTAAAGTTTACTCATCAATGTATAGCTACTTTAATTTCCCCATCTTATTTGCTAGGAAAATATGGAACCCTGTTGCTAATAAAATATCACTATTGAATGCATATTTATCATTCTTAATAAAAATAACTTGTAACATGCATTCAATTGTCAAAATATATATTAATTTGTCTTTTGTAAAAATATAGGGAAATTATGAGAAATTACACAATTACATGTAATATTTCACATATATGCAAAGTGCCTGAAGTAGGCTCCACGGCCAAAACGTTGTGTTTTCTCTCTTCTTTTTTTCAGCATGGAATAAACCTATTACTTGTTCCTTTGCAGCCTAGGCATGCTGACGCAGCTACCCACCTGAACTACTACATTTCACATATATGATACATATTCCCATTTATTTGAAATTTATGGTTCTGATGTACGAGCAGAGAATAGGGCTCCACCAACATGTGGGATTCTAGCAAAGGTAAAAGCTGTGTTCTACCAGTTTCTGCAGCCAGAGGTGGATGTCTCCTTGAAACTGAGCATCATCAATGACCCGCCGAGTGAAGCTGAAGAGGACGCTGATGCTCTCCTTCAGAGGCTGCAAAGAGGAGGGCTGAGCCACTAGATCAGGGGAATCTGATGGAAACAAGGATAAAAATTACACAAAACCCGCTGGCTACAAAACATAGTGAACTTCAACAACTAACAAGGACAGACAACACAGAGACACTCAAGAGGGTAAGAGTCATGTACACAGTTCTATACCTATACCTTAAACCACAGCACCTTTCCTGGAGGGCCAAAAGGATTCTGGTTTTCCTTGACCTGAACCCTTACTTACCTAAATACACTCATTATTGGCACAATTAAGAAGCTTAACAAACTGAAGCTTTTCCTTGTTCTTAAGAAGCTGGAGATTAAAAGAGAGCTATGATGCCCACTGGACAGTGGCCCTTGAGAACTGGAGCTGGGCATCACACCTTAAACTGTCAATACAAATCCGAATATTAAGTATTATTAATATACCCCTAATCTCTGCTTTTCAGGGACTTTATCCCTCATTTGCTTTGAAAGCCCCTTAATCTTCATGGTTGAATCTGCTCAAAATTCACAACTAGAGCAAGAATCCTCACAGACAGGTGGTTTAATTCTGAAATCATGAGAATTAGTATTTTTGCACACAGAGGCCACTCAAATAATTGCATTGCTCTGTAAGATCATGTAGTGCACCTAAAACAATTAAGATTTTCAAAGCAAAGGGGTTGAATACTTATGCGATTACGGGTATTCTATTTTTCTTTCAGATTACCTATTCACATATTTTTTACGATTTTGCTTCAGGGCTATTTAACTGGGAAACCCAGATAGGAGAACAACTGATGAGTGCAGGCAGGAAATAGTTTTGATTTGTTGTTTTCTAAATAATAGTACATTCTGGGAAAATCATAACCACTAGTATAATCGGTACAGTCTTGTTTTCACTAAGTAAGTATTCTGTTCTTCTTGACTCTAGTGTTGACATCACCATGTATAACTATATTCTGTTTTTTAAGGAAATAAGACCATGATCAAAAGGCTACCTGCTGCAGACCCAGTCATTCTGCCCCATTCCGCTCCATTTTACACCATCTTACTTCATTCTGCCCCATCCAGCCTCTTTCTGCCCCGTTCCACACCATTATGCTTCATTCTACCCCATTCCGCGCCACCTTGCTTCATTCTACCCAAATCCATCCCATTCTGCCCATCGTGCCTCCTTCCGCACCATCCTGCCTCATTCTGCACCATCAAGTCCCATTCCGCTCCATTCTATACCATCCTACTTCATTCTGCCCCATCCAGCCTCTTTCTACCCAGTTCTACACCATTCTGCTTTATTCTGCCCCATTCCGCGCCATCTTGCTTCATTCTGCCCCATTCCATCCCATTCTGCCCCATTCATGTGTTGTGAGCATTCTGGCGCACTATGGCTGCCGTTGCATCATCCAGGTGGGGCTGCACATTGGTGGTGGTGGAGGGGAGTCCCCATTACCTGTAAAGCACTTTGAGTAGAGTGTCCAGAAAAGCATTATATGAGTATAAGCAATCATTAATTAGTATAGCAATTATTATTCAGCCTCTTTCTGCCCCATCCTGCTTCATTCTACCCGATTTCACATGATCCTGCTTTATTCTGCCCCACCCCATCCTATTCAGCCCCATTCAGCCACTATCTGCCCCATCCTGCCTCATTCCACACCATCCAGCTTGCCCCCTACCTGCAGTACACTCCTGCACGGCCACGGCCCTGGTGCTTGGGTTGCTGCTCAGCAGGCCGTACAGGTAGGACTCCACCTGCAGCCGTGACAGCACTGTGGTGTAGGAGTGCAGCGCCACCGTCTGGTGGAGGAGCTCAGCCTTGGCCTCAAACAGCCGGCGCAGCTCCCCCAGGACCGGCTCATTCAAGACCACCTGCTGGAAGCGGTGAAATCCGCACACCTTGGTCTGGTCCGCACACAAACCCTGCCAGCGAGAGTTAATGTTAGAGTTAATGTTTTGTGTCAGGATTCAAACAGTGACATCAACTTGGGATAAAGAGCTGCCTTTGTTTTACATCCTAAGCATCTCTTTACTGAGAGGATGCACCAACTGCAGGATCACTAGAAATACGACATATGTCTGACAATTGTTAAAATGTATATGGTATTATTCTAAAATGATTAAATGAGAAACTCCTCAATCTTTTTATTCCACAGCAGCCAGTTTTTCATAAATATATACTCATTTATTTCTCTGGAAATGTGCTAGAAATTCTTATTTCTCTTTAATCACTTAAAGAAAAAAAATCTCTCCTGAAATGGGTTTTTAAGAACTACACCCTGAAAATGTGGGATAATAAAGTCCCTAATTCTTCAAGATTGGAGGAAACTCTTCTTGTCTCAACTTGAAAGGGATTGCACCTCTCCAACAAAAGTTTCTGCCAATAAAATCAAGCCCGAAAAATCCACAACCTCCAATTGTTAGTATTAAATTTTACACGAATGACTTCAGAACAAATGCGTACAATGCATATTTTAGACCTAAATGGCCTCTTTTTAATGAGGTACATTTCATCAAACCCTCACCCAGTATAGACGCCAAATAATTTTGAAAGACTTTTGGCTAAAACTTCTACATAACTTCCAACTAAGAAAGTTCTTTGTTGTCAACTTTGAGAAGACATATCACAAAAGTATGCATCAGCAAATAAGTGTTGATTTATCCTTGGACTGGGCAATTTTTTTTCTGCCTTTGTAAATACAGTATTTAGCTGCAAAACACCACAGTGAAAACCATCTGGCTCAAGGGCTACTGAATTTTAGCCAATTAGAAATTTAGCAGCATATTGAATCATGCCAATGTTTGACATCAGTGTGATTGTGAATTATCCTCACATTATGTGGTCTAAAAACTAAGTTAGAGTAACCCCTACTAGAGATGGTAGAATGACTCAATCTAAATGTCAATATTATTATTAAAGATCATGCAAAAGAAAGTTATGACAATTTAACTGGTTGTGACATAATCAACAAATAAACATATAATGTTAACAACATACTTAAGCTCTTTTAAGACCCAAAACTTTATTCTATTTTTGTAAACGTATATTCTAGCCAAGACCCTCAATTATGTTGCCTACATGACCCATTTTGTGGCCACCTTTAGACGACGTTCAAACAAATAACCTAAATGAAGCAATTTCACAGTTCTAAACTGCCTGCAGTTTTACCACTGAATAAGGGACTTTCCTCAGATAGCTTCCTTCTGTAAAAACGCCCAGCTGTATAAAGGGGTATTATTTTGGATAAAAGCAATTATTCACACCTTGAAAATGTATTTCTGCATGCGAGCATAGCCTGCTGTTAAATTTCAGCTGAAGCACTCAATGTATGTGAAGAAGTTAAGGTTATTGTTATGGCTTTGTAATCTTAATGCTAACCAAGGACAGGAAGCAAGTCTGTACAAAAAGGGTTGTGGGAGTATGGAACAAGGCCCATCCACATCCTTGAAGCTGATACACTGGCTTCCTTCAAGAAATGACTGGCCTAATCCTTGGATCAGTTAGGTAATCAAAAGCCAAATGAGCTAGATGGATGAAGTTCCCCCCTCTCATTTATAAACTGTTTATGAGTTCTTATTACTGTCAGATAGAAAGACATTGTTGCTGGTGCTCCCCCCTTTCTGTAAACAAAAACAATCTTTGGGGCTTGACTGATATCTTCCATCATGTAGAACGACTTCTCTTTTTGTGGAAAGAGTTGGGAAAAACTGAGTGCCAAGAGAAATAGCTT